AGTCAATCAAACAGTCACATGTAGAACCATTTACACTCACACCAATGGTCAGTTCAAAGATCAACTTTGTTTTGAATTTCTATAAAGCAGTGGTTCTTAACCTGGGTTCAATCAAACCCCAGGGGTTCAGCGGAGGATGACACCCCCCCCGCTTGGCCATCACCCATATGAAACTGGTGAGGTTCAGTACCTCCAACAAGGTTAAGAACCACTGCTATAAAGGGTTCCACCATGTAGATCAATAACATCCTGACACGGAGTTGCCGAGTAAAGGAGGAGGGGGTGGAGAGGAACAAGGTGATGAAGCGTGCTGATTAGGGGCAGTGGTGCAGGATTAACAGGACTGGACATCCTTTCATGGTCTTTCATCCTCTGTCGATGAAGAACATTCCTTTGTTGAGTCATGTTTACGTGCACAGACACAGCACATAAACACAGAAGGTCAAAGTAAAGGAGAAGAAAATAAAAAACACAAACACAATGAACATCATGGAAACTCAGAGCAATCAAACGGAGAATCCAGATCGATGCAGTTGGACACTAACTGTCACAAAACACCACAAACCAAACTTACAACATTAGTTATACAGCAGACTTCAAAGACAGTCTTAGAGATTATACCAAGTGAGGTAACGTCAAGGATGAAATTGACTAGAAAACACAAGAGAAGAAGAAAAACATCTCTTTGATCAAATATACCATGACGCTATTTGAGACGGCAAACAGCTCTGTTTCTCAGATGGAGTCCACACTCATAGAGGAAGCTCTTCAGCCAATTCTGATGAAGCACTTTGAAAACTTCTCTGCGTCGCAGTGGTGCAGATTGGCGGCTCAGAACTATGACTCTTGTGTAACAGCGTCTCTGGCTGATCTGGTGACAGAAATTGTTCAGATGTTAGCAGCAATAGTCCTGAGACGGATGAATCCAGAGAAAGGCTGGAACAAGAAGGCGTTAGACACAGCTCTAAAAGACCTCAACAAACTGCAGGGAGACTTCTTCTCCACGGAGTTTGCCAACGCTCTTAGAGTCCATGTGGAGCGGTGTGAGAGAGCTGAGGAGCTGACAGCGCTGGTGAGGACCGAAGTTTCAGAGAAAGTTCAGTCTATCGCGAGTAATGCCATCAACTGTTCTGATCTGCCAATAAAACCTGCTGTTTTCGTCAGTGGTTCTATGTCCAGCACACAGACTCTCCATCAGATGGTGCAGTGTGCCGGACAGTGTCTAAGCACGTTAAACCTGCAGGGATTCTGTTACTGGGAAAAAGAAAAAATCCTAAATCCTGAGTCAGACAAACCTGATTCACGGCGCAGCATCAAATCCAACATGTCTGCCACTGAAGCCATCACTGATATCCTGAGTAAATGGGCCAGTGCTTCGTCAGACATGAGCTCAGACAAAACCATCTCAGACGAACAAGCTCAAAGTTTAGACCAAACCATTTCAGATGAACCTGACATTGGTTTCGATCGATTAACTTTGGTCCAAACAGATGTCGGCACAAGAAAAACTGGTTCATATGAGTCTAGTCTTAGTTCAGTGGAGACCAGTTCAGATGAACGGGACATTAGCTTAAATGAAACCATCTCAGATGAAGCAGACACCAGTTCAGTAAGGACGAGTCCTCAGGAAGCTGAAGTTAGAGCAACTGATGGGTCTTCAGATGAAGGAGACGTGAAACCAGACCAAACAGATGTTCTGTCAATAAAAATAGGATCAGACACAACTGATCTGAGATCAGAGAGAACAATTTCGGATGAATCTGATGTGTGTTCAAACCAAACCATTTCAGATGAAGCAGAAGTTCGTTCCGACAAAACAATTTCAGATGAATCGGACGTCTGCTCAGTCAAAACAGTTTTAGAAGAACCTGAGTTCAGATCATTAAAAACCATTTCAGATGAAGAAGATACTAAATCAGACAAGACCATTGCTGAGGAACCAGATGTTAGCTCAGAAAAAACCATTTCAGATGACACTGATTTCAAATCTGATAAAACAATCTCAGATGAAGTGGACTTCAGATCAGACAGGAACCATCGAGCAATCGCTCAAAGGTCTGTAACAATCAGGAGAAGAAGTGGAGGAGACCCAGGAAGATATGGAGAAGATTTCATGGACATAAAGACGTTTCTTGCAGCTCAGGATGCAGCCTTTGATATCGTCTCAGACATCTGGAGTAATCTTCCTCCGGAGGATAAGTTGACGGTGGAAGGCAAAGAAACCAAAAGTTGTTTGTATGCTTTGTCGACTTTTCAAAAAGTGAAAGCCTTTTTCGACTCAAAGGCCAAACCTTTTGGGAATGTCACCCACGCTTCTCAAGTACTTAACAACAACATCTTTCCCACATTTGTGGAAAGTCTGTTTGACAAAATGATGGCAGATCTTAAAGCTGCGTTAAAAGAAGAATATTCCCCAATCCGGCGCCCGCAGCAGGACTTCAGAGAATCTCAGTACGTCTACATTCTGCCAAGACCATATTCTCCTCAGCATTCATCTCCAACTGCTGACGGGAGAAGCCGGATGACCAGGATGACTGTGAGCTCAAGAAGATCTAACAAAAACTGTGAGCCTCCAATTGTGGTTGAAACCATCAAAAGACTCCAGAGGCTGAAGTCCAGTGATGAGGTCATTGAACTCTCCAGAGAATTGGTGGAGAGGATTTATGATCAGCTGACACCTGAGGACAAGTATCCACCTCCTTTTGGTGCAAACGGTCCCAGCCTCTTTGACTCAGTCATCTCTGACCTGATGATGACTACGGACCACAGTCAAACCTGCTTTGCTCCTGACGTTCTTTACGCCATGACAGAGGATGCAGTGGGGAAGTTCATGCAGCAGGTGCAGCTCTGGATGGTGAACAGATCCTCAGAAAAGGCTCATCGTAACGAAGCGGTAGCCGGAGCAGTGGCCGAGATTGAAGAACTGATACCAAGTATCGTGACAACATCTGCTGAGAACAGTTCCTCAGCTCAGAGTGTCCGGATGGGACGTAGCAGTGAAGAGAAATGCTGCCCAGAGGAGGTGATGAACCGCATTGTCACGTCCTTCTGTGAACGACTCATCACCAAACTCATGAAACCCATCAAACTGTCTGCAAACACCATCTACATCATCAAACGTCTGTCCTACATGGTCCAGGAAGGAATGAGCTTCTCCTACTCTGCTCTCCAGAAGCTGGACAGAAACGTGGCCAAAGTCACATCAGCCATCATCAAAAACCTTCACATGGAGTTTGATTCAGAACAGAAACTTCTGGACGCCGTTGTAGCACATGACACTGCCTTTGATGATGCTGTCATCAAGTGTCTGGAATCCCAGCTCTTTTGTCTCCAGAGCACCAACGGTTCTACGATCGCTCACTGGTTCTCAGGACTGGGAAAGGCCATCATCAAGCCTTTCAGGCGCCGGGTCCAAGTCAACCTTGGACCCGGCGCCTGAAATCGCACAAATGCACAAAATTCAAGCCGACAGGTAACAACTGTATCATAACCTGTATATACTGTAGGAAGAGGCGCAACACATGAATTATCCAAATAAAGTTTTCCTCTGCTGTAAATGCATCTGTTGACCAGATGAAGCTGTTCCTTGGACTGTCTGTTTTCCTGTTGTTCCACTCATATGGTTTTTTTTCCATCTAACTGTTGTGGCAACAGATGGATCAACCGGTCACATTCTTCCAATCATATCATACTGTACATGTACGAGATAAATCAAATAAAAATGGAAAAGACAAAGAGGGCCCTACAGGGGGCAGTAATGCTGCAAAACCACACTGTGGTAAAACACTGAAGATTTTATTTGTCATTGAGAATTATATGATTAATTAATCAATTAATTTCTGATATTTTTTACACATAATAAATATTTGATAACCTTTAAATCTTCATTATTTCTACTCTAACCTTGATGTATGGATGGGATTATGAACACAAAATAATTCTTTACACCCAAACGTATTAAACATGTTGTAATGTTCAGCCTATAATAAAGATAATACATATCTCACAAAACCAACCGTACGTTTAAATTTTAGGGGAGTGTCCATTTTTTAAATTTCTTTTCTTCTCTTTTGTTTTAATGTCTTCCAAGTATCGTTGGCTGTTTTTGAGTGTCCACCAGTTCAATCAGAAATCAATCTTAAATCAGAAACATGATCAGGATCAGAGTGAGGATCAAAAACAAGTTCAGATTTATGATCAAGATCACAGTTATGTTCACAGTCAGGATCAGGGTGTTGGTTTGGTTTGAGAAACAGCAGGTGGTGCTGTTTTTATCATGAGTTTGTACAACCAGGCTGCAGATGACAGTTTGTGTGTGGAGTTCAAGGAGAAGGTGAGAAAAACCTTCATGCAGGAAATCTCCACGGACGCAAACAGCCTGAAGAAACAACTTGAAAGGGCAAGAAAAAGTTCAAAGAGAGCAGAGGAAATTAGGAGAAGGAGCCGAGGAGAGAAGCGTAGGTATAACTGAGGAGAGAGAGAGGAGAAATGATATTAAAAAGAAGGGGTTAATTAAGAGAAAAGGGAAATATAGTAGGAATAGAAGAAGATGGAATTATGGGAGATAAGATTAAAGGATGAGAATAAAGGAAGATATGAAAGGAATTTATCAAGAATGTAAAAAAAAAAGAATGGAAAGTGAAAATGGCAGATGGCGGAATAAGGGAAGAAAAAAAAGGGTTTTGTTTTTTTCTAAATGTTTGTAAGATTATTCGATGATATAAAGCCAACCAGTGGTTTTAGCTTCCAGATCACAGCAGTCACTGATCCACCGCTGCCTTCATCACTGAGTTCCAACGTGTTACTTTGTGACATAACTGATCGAAATCCTTGGTTTGACATAAAACTAACCACAGGAGGCGGCAGAGGACCAGCAGCTCTTTTATCTACGTGGTCTTAAATCAGTAATTTCCTGGATGGATTTCTCCGGGTAACGAGACAGTCTTCATGAACACTTCTGTCTTCTGCTTTGAACGCTGACATTTTCTGCAGTAGTTTCACCTCAAACATGTGTCGACCACAGCCTGAGGCAGGCACTGATAACCACCACAACACACACACACACACACCCATCATCACACACATACACCCGTCATCACACACATACACCCGTCACCTCACACACACACATGCCAACACACACACAGGTCACCACACATATGCGTTAACACACTGTACTGTAAACACATTCCCAACATGACAATGTACATTCACATTCACTTGAGTGCACAGATTTGCTGATTGGAAGTGCATGTATGGAATACACATCATACATCTAAGAGAAACACACACACACACACACACACAGACACACACACACCGGCTGGCTGGTCTTAACTGCTTTGTAGTATTTTTAGTCCTGTTATTCTGGGTCTGGTCCTGTCCTGGCAGGGCTGGGGCGTTTATATAAACTCCCCCTGTGAGTGGGCACCACTCAGGACACACAGTGGAAACATCTCACCAACAAACAGGCAGCAGGCATTTTTCAAATCCTCTCAGGGTAAGTCTGTGTCTGTGTGGCTTTTACAGATGTCAATCTGCCAGTCCTTTAACTTCACTCTGTTTCTGAGCATCTTAACATTTTTATTAAAAGTTTTACTGGATCATGACTGAGGAGCAACATCTGCTCCTAGGTTAAGATCAAACGTTCAAAAGGATCAATGGAAAATAAGAACTATTACTCATGATAACAGCTGAATAAAAGAGAAGTCTTGCTGTTGTGTTGCAGGATTGTATTATTTTAATTAAATGAAATATCAACTATCTGGTTGGTTAAATTAAACTAAAAATCTAAATAAAAGCTGAATTACTATTATTAAGATGAATCCACCTATAGGTGTGTAGGAGTGACTCTCTATTAGAAAAAAAACACAGGTCCAAGATCTGCAGCAGCACATAGCTGATTGAACCTGTATCCGTTACTGCAGTGTTTCCCAAACTTTTTTTCTGGGGACCCATATTTTAAAAGTCACAAACTTTCGCAACCCAAGTCAATAGACAGTATTCGTAAACATGATGCAAGACGACCCAAAAAAAACCCTCTTGCAACCCACCTGAGGGTCGCGACCCAGTCTTTGGGAAACAATGCATCACTGGACCAAGTCTGAACTAAAGATCTGAGCTGCTGGTAGAAGAGCTGAGCTCGTAACTGAGAGACACTGGATCTGCCTTGTCGCCTGCCATCACAGAGCTTGGCTTCAGTTCCTGTTTCCTCCTCTGTGCCAAACTGCTGCCTTTTTGTTTTTTCAGCGGGTCGCCGGGTTTGTGTCAGGAACACGTGTTAGAACATGTTGCTTGTTTGTGGGACGTGTGCACACGGTCATCGGTCACCATCTTCATCGTGGGCTGCAGTAACGTTTAAGGTCGTAGTGATGTGTCGTTGATGGAGCTGTGACACTGAGTGATGAGTCCAACCTTTAGGTTCATTACAGTCATGAATAGATCTGATAGAATTCCATTCATCACTGTCTGAGGCTGAACGGACTGTAGCGGAGACACTTTCTGCTTCACCCTCTGCAGAACCTGAATCCATGAAACCTACAGTCGTTCCTTCTCACGTTAGAACCATAGATTCACACCATGGTCTGTCAGCTGCTGTCAAAAACCACAGAAGAAGTCAGTGTTGAGTGGAGGAGCTGCTGTCAAAAAACACAGAAGAAGTCAGTGTTGAGTGGAGGGTCAGGATCAGCTCAAAGGAGGAGACTGTCAATATCCATCCATCCATTAATCCATTTTCGTCCACTTATTCATTACCGGGTCGCGGGGGCAGCAGTCTCTATGACCGCCACCCAAATCACACTGCACCGTACCAACCCCAGGCTGTCAGTAGAAAGTTTGAAATCTTTTTCTCAGAATATCATTCTAAAATGATTTGAGTCCCCGTCTCTTAATGGGTCCCAGGTTCCCAGTGCAGAGAATGATTTATTCTGATCTATTCTTTTACAGACTTTTGAACCCTGTGTCTTCTCTCTTTTTAGGACGCCATGTTTCCAGCATAATGTCAGCTGAAGTTGCGATCCAAAAGTTCTCCTTCCCCTTCTCCTGCACTGCTCGTCTTCCTCAGCACGACGACGTGACCCAGGAAGGATGTGTGCAGGTGAAGACCCTGGAGCTGCGAGACCTCCCGGAAAACCCTGTCATAAGCAAATCCGGCAAACCTGATCTGCTCTCAGGAACCGGGATGCATAAATTAAACCCCGCCCTCGAGTCTCCCATGCCTTCTGTTAACGGGCTGGGCGTGTCTCTGGCTGGGACCCCAGTCAGGGTCTGCGCCGAAACTCCAAAGGATGCGTTGACCTCCAGGAGAGGCGTGTTTGAGAAACTATTGGCGGTGGAGAGCGAAGACCAACGTCCGGCCACCAAGAGACAGTTGTCCTGTGAGAGCGCCGCCAAGACCATCAGTGTCGTGAAGAAGAGTGCGGTGAGGAAGGAGGTGGAGGATCAGAAGTGTCCGCGGGTGAAACCACAGCTGGGTCTGAGGACCTCATCAAGTGCTGCAGCTCCAGTCAAGAGAAAACGACGAAAAGATCTTTTCAGCAACTGTGAGGTGTTTTACAGAGTGGACACTCACGTGATCAGGACGGGGGCCGAGGTGAGAGACCCTGATGATCTGGTTAGGTTCTCAGTCATCCAGGTCATCTTATCCAAAAATAGTTACATGGAGGGCAATGGGTTTCTTGAAGACGTTTCACCTCTCTTCCAAGAGGCTTCTTCAGTTGTGATGAGAGGTTAAACGTCTCTAAGAAACCTATTCCGTCCAGTTGCCCTCGATGAAACTATTTTTGGTTGTGTTTGTGTCTAAGAAAACTATGTGAACTTTTCTTTTGTCCTGTAACGATAGACCTCTCAGCAGTGTTAGCCTGTTGATGATGATGATGATAGTGATGATGGTGAAAGAATAATTTCCTGTGTTGCAGCTGAAGGATAAGTGTGTATACGATGTGAAGACCATCGTCCAGAACATCACACAGGGAAGCAGGACTGACCTGGAGAGACTTCGTGCCATCTGGGTCTGGCTCTGCCACAACATCGGTAGGCTCACGGAGTTTGATGAACTCTGTCAAACACTCCTTCGATCTCAGCACTGAGCACAACCTTTGATTGGAGATAAAGACGAGTGTGATCTCCACAGAGTACGATGTGAGCGGCTATCTTGGACGCTCGGACAAGTTAAGTTCACCTGAGGAAGTGATTGCTGCCGGCCGAGGTGTGTGCTGCGGATACTCCAGCCTCTGCACGGAGATGTGCAGGTAAACAGCCGAGGAGGTGAAGTGTCTGTGAATCAGTCAACTGACGATCCTTCACTGTTTCACCATGTCTTTGGCTGCTGGCTCAGAATACCTCAGGTCTCCAATAAACCCAGTACTAATAGCTTGATGATATACACATGGATGAGTGAGGTTTTACCAAAGCACAAGGATTCAGGATTCAGAAATCTGTAACTTCTTAATCCTATAGCTTCAGAGCTAATCCCAGGACTTTCAAGACCAAAAGAAAAACAAGAAAAAAAGACTCCATTAATGAACATTGTGCACTTGATTCTCTGAGCTAACCAACAGGAGTCTAATAAATCTCCATTAACCAACCCTGAACCAGTGTTTGAGAACCTTGGACACAAAACAAAAGCTTATGTTTGTCACTATGTTCACAGAGAGGTTGGCATCGAGTGCCAGGAAGTGCCAGGCCACAGCAAAGGCATTGGGTATCGTCAGGGCCAGAGCCTCAAGAATGTGAAATCTGATCACCTGTGGAACGCTGTGCTGCTGGAAGGACAGTGGTTCCTGTTGGACGCCTGTTGGGGGGCAGGACGAGTGGACATGGAGCATGAAAGCTTCATCAAAAGGTTTGATTTTTGTAGTTATAACAGAAGTCAAGAAGAGGTTTTCCATTTTCTTTCTTTCTTTCTGATTTCTGAGGCTGTCAGTGTTGGGTTACTTTTCATAAATCCAGCAGCGAGCCGGGTCTCAAACCAGTCCACTCACTCCATCTGTTGCCTCCCAGGTTTGATGATTTCTATTTCCTGACCGACCCTGAGGAGTTCATCGAGTCACATTTCCCTGATGAGGAGAAATGGCAGCTCCTGGACTCACCCATCCCTTTGGAAGAGTTTGAGAGAAAGGTCTTTAAGACGTCAGCCTTCTTCACCACGGGCCTGAGACTGATTCAGCCTCATCACTATTACATCATCACAGGTTCCAAAATGTTCTGTCAGTTTTTCTAATCATTCTTTTGGTCAGTTTTCCTAAAATAAATTGGAATGTTACATGTTTTGTTCTTGTAGACTCAGGGGAAGCGAACATATCCCTGGGCTTCTCCAGACCAGCTATCTTTACCTATGAGATCACACAGCACCAGGATCTCCTCCACTGTGGAGCCTCAGAGCAGAAAGAGTCCATCAACTCTTCTTTTGGCTTCCTGACAGTTTCTCATCGTAGCATGAAGCTCCAGCTTCTACCTCCAGCCAGTGGTACCTACGACGTGAAGGTTTTTGCAAGACCCGAAGCGGCCGTCACGCCTTTGTCCTGGGTCTGCTCCTTCACAGTTGACTGTCCAACTCCCCGGGCCATGGAGGAGATCCCAGAGAACCCGTTTTTGTCCTGGGGCTTGCAGCCCACGGCAGCATCTCTGGGCGTCACAGGCAGCAGCCACGGTAGTGAGGTGGCTGAAGTGGAGAACGGTGTCTTTGACTTGGTGTTGAAGACATCCAGGTCTCTGATGATGGTGTGTGAACTGGTTCACACAGAACTGGAAGCTAGCGTAGCCAAACGCTGCCTGGTGACTCAGATAAAGCCAGACGCTCTGATCTGCCACGTCCTCTGTCCCTTCCACGGCTTTTACCGATTATCGGTATTTGTGCGTGACTATGAAAAAACAGAACTCAAGTTCCAGAACGCCACAAACGTCCTCCTGCACTGTAAAGGGAAGGTGGTCGCAATGGACGATCTCTTCCCTCCCAACCTGGGATCAGCTTGTGGTCCGGGAACGCGCACGTCTGAGGCGGGGTTGTCCAAATTCAGCCACACCACGGCGGTAGTGAGCACACAGCAGGGTAAATGTAACATCACCTTCCACAATCAGCAGGACTTGGAGCTTCACACTGTTCTGAGCCGAGAGGAGAAAACACCGGCAGAGATTCCACTGTCACGATACGTATTCTGTACGTACACAGACAGCAAGGTGACGGTGAGCGTCAGCCTTCCTGAGGCGGGGGTGTACCGGCTGGGTCTGTACGCCAGGATGGCCCCCGGGGCAGATTTCAATCCCATGTGTGACTTTGTTGTGAGGAACAGCTGTGATCAGCCTGGGCCTCCGTTCCCCTGCGTCTACTCCGCCTGGAGGAAAGGCTGTGTACTCTTTGAGCCTCGCGTAGGCCTCTTGGCGCCTGTGTCCTGGGTCCGCTTCAGGGTGAGGGTCCCTGGGGCCCAAAGAGTGAGTGTGGTGGGTGAGACAAAAACGGATCTAAAACTGAACAAGAGCAGGGTCTGGGAGGGTGATGTGTTCAGCGGGAATGGTCACCAGCAACTGAAACTGGCTGCGTCCTCAGAAGAATCCACTGAAATGTCGGTTCTAATGATATTTGACACCAAACAGCCCGAAAACCAACCATAGCATTAAAAACGGTAAAGGAAACCAACCGGTTTCATCCTGGGACGTTTGCTGAGCTGGAGTTACAGGAGCTCCAGTCAGTAGTCCTCACCCACTGTGCTCGACAAACCTCGGTCCAGTTCTAGTTCCTACGGTTGGGATCTTGTTTCTGGACTAAGCCTGAAACAACAACACTATCTTCTTCACCTGTGTTATAAGCTAACGTCACACTTGAAGTGTGTTTCCGTGACCAGCACCTCTGTCTGTACTGCCATCTGATGATGGTCAACTCTGACTGTAAATACATGTGACTGTGTAGGTGTGTGACGTGAATCTGGACTGTGTAGAGAAGTTCAATTCTGGTGCTGAGTTGTTGGTGCTATGCTGAGAGGAAATCTATTGTTTTTGTGCTTCATCATTACCTTCATTATCATTATTATTATTATTATTCAGTTGTTTGCAGGTAAATATCTTTGTGGAATTATTCTTTCTCTCTGGGTGTGAAATAAAAAAAGCTCTCTTTTTACACATACATGTTTGAATTTCTTTATGACAAACTCTGTAATTTTTACAGTGTATTGTCATCAGCTTCCAAATTGAACATTAATTTTAATTTATTTATTTGTGTATAATGACATCAGAGTATAAAGTAAGTATTTTGAATGTCAAAGTGACATTTTCTGACCAAGGACTTTGAAGTTCTTTGAAAGTGGAGCTCATAAAAAGCCTCAACACAACCTTTTATATTTGTTCAAAACATTTCCCTCTATGCAGCAAAATGTCTGTAGAGCAGCAGCATTGCAGGATAAAGAGTCCGATCTGTAAAGTGTTTGTTTGTAGAGTCCCATAGAATCAGAGCTTTTAACAATTTTGAAGAAATAGCCAGATTTCAGGGGTAAAAAAACCCCCTAGACCTTCGCATCTACTTCTCAGGTGTGGGTGAGGGAGAAACAAAAATGTTCAGGCATATAAAATCTGTCTTAAAACTACAAAATAAACATACAGTTTGATAGTTTTGGACTTCAAAATGTGACCTTGGAGTTTTGTTACACTGTCAACAAAACAAAACCTGTTTACTGAGTAGAAGTAAGCAGCAGCATTGGCAGCAGCAGCAGCAGCATTGGCAGCAGCATTGGAGCGATCTGCTGCTGCTGCTCCACTCTGCAGGCTTTGGCAGAGTCCAGCTACAGTGATGATGAGTGTTTACATGCGGCGGTCATAATGGACCACAAATAACCAGAGCTTTCACTGCTGTAAAAATACGACTATAGTAGAATGGGGGGGAGAAAAAGGGCTAGTTAATGGGTAAGGCAACTGGGCAGCACTGAGTTGGGAGTGTGTTTTTGATGGAGGGTCTGGAGATTGAGTCGCTGGGGAGAAAGTGTCAGCACAGCGAAGAGGGAACGCTGATGTCAGAGGTTAGACATGTGGAGGGCACTATCTGCCTGGCAACAATTCAGACAGACTCAAAGTTACACAAACACAGCTTCAGTTGAGCTTAAGATTGATGGGGATTATTTAAAAAAACAAAACAAGATTAAAAGCAACTAATGCCAAAAGTTATTTTTCACTGGCCACTAGAAGTGTATGGTGGTGTGTTCCTCTTTGGTAATAGGGTTTTCCTGGGTGGAAATGTTTTAACTGCAGGTGGCAGTGGTATAATGCAAATTGTTTGTCTTAAAAAAAAACAACATAGAAGTGATCGTGTCCATAGGTGTGGATGTGTGTGGGCGGGGCTAACAGCAAGCTGAAACGTTTTTAAAGATTCTATCTAGTTGAAACATGCAATTTTAGTAAGGTGAATGTAGCGCATCCATTGTATGTCGTTCAACCGGTGAATGTAAACAAAGACCTCTAGGTTCTTAAAAATGTACATCGGAAATATGGAAGATTTCTTTTTCTAATAAATTTAGCAGAGATGGCCAACCAATATTATCGACCTGATATTAGAATATTATTAGAAACGTTATCGGCTTTACTCCGATAATGAAATCCCAATAACGCAATGTCTGGGTTTCGCCAAATGATACGTGCCCTCAAAGTAGTTCTGGGGATAAACGGCTGTACAGTATATATTAAAGTGAAAGATACAGTAAAATGTGACCTCTCAATGAGGGAGAAATCCACCTGACATTTTTAAGGTCATGAGTCTGTGATGATTTCTCAGTGTGGTAAACATGACAAAATGACAAATTACTGAATCAACAATATAAATATTTAATGGGTTACAAGGTGCAATAAATACAGTTAGATTATAAAAGCATCAGTCACAGGAAAAAAACACAAGTTACAGTAGTTCAGTGCAAAAGAAGCTCAGTTTTGATCGTTTTCATTGAAAACTAAAAGTAGAAGTCAGTTTGGCACGTTGTCCGGCACAATGAACAATTTTTAGATGGTTTTTTTAGAACTTTTTTTTTGAAGACCACAGCTTCATTCTGCTCCCAGACTTTAAACGTGATTAACCTGATTTCACTCATTCTGAGTAAACTTCTAATTTTACCCACAGACAGAAAATGTTACAATTCCACCCTCTGAAAACCACCTCAGCCCTGGACTGGACGGCTTCTTCTCTCAGTGGGTTTAATCCCTTTAACCTGGACTGGACGGATCACTTTAAATTATTTCTTCTAAAAGTTGCCTGAGGGCTGAGACATGATTGGACGTTTAAAACTTTATGTTCACATCTTTTGCCAATAAAGCACAAAAATACCTTTACAAAAAAGAATGTAAGTAAAAAAAATAAACAACGCCACCTTGCATTACGTGGTCATCTCACAGCACAGGGTCCTGATTAACACCAAACTTGGTTTTTGTCCTATAACTTCAGCTACTCAGAGGAACAACCTCCACGTACAGGGTTAAGACACAAGAACTGATCATTCTGCCAGAGGGCGCTAGAGAGGCCAGAGCGAAGGGCTTGTGGAGGGCTCTTTGGGGCCCCTGGTGTGCAAAAGGTCCAGGGTCACCCAACTTTAGTCACTAACTGTATCCTTAGCTTAAATTTGTATGAATAACAGCCTGAGAAGAAAACAAGAAACACTGAGCTCTGGTTGGCTGATTGCTCAGAACAAATACAGAATGGGCGGAGCCTGTGAGAACACAACGGTTACTGACATAAGCACTCGCTTCAACCAAAAACACCACAGTCTAAAAACAGGAAACTGAGATAACAGTGTCCACTCATCTCCCTTTGAACAAAGTATTTCTCAACCTGACTTCCTGTCTAGAAACAGCG